GGCCCCTGCACCCACGTGGGAGACCTGAAAGAAGCTCCTAGCTCCTGGCTTCGGATAGGCACAGCTCTGGTTGTCTGGGGAGTGAACCATCGGATGGAGGACCCCTCTTTCTCTGTGTCTCTCTCTCTCTGCCTTCTCCTCTCTGTGTAACTCTTTAAAATAAAAAAAAAAAAAACTTTAAAAAAAATAAAAAGGGGAGATCAACATTCGGATACCCTGTCGAGGGTTCAGGGTCCAGTTTTCATCGGGGGAATTTTTAACTTTTATTTAATATAAATTTCCAAAGTACAGCTTATGGATTACAATGGCTCCCCCCCCCCCCCATAACTTCCCTCCTACCCACAACCCTCCCCTCTCCCGCTCCCATTCCATTCACATCAAGATTCATTTTCAATTGTCTTTATTTACAGAAGATCAATTTAGCATATATTAAGTAAAGATTTCAACAGTTTGCACCCACACAGAAACACAAAGTGCAAAATACTGTTTGAGTACTAGTTATAGCATTAATTCACATTGTACAACACATTAAGGACAGAGAGCCCACATGAGGAGTAAGTGCACAGTGATTCCTGTTATTGATTTAACAAACTGACGCTCTTGTTTATGGCGTCGGTAATCACCCTAGGCTCTTGTCATGAGTTGCCAAGGCTATGGAAGCCTTTTGAGTTCGCTGACTCCGATCTTGTTTAGACAAGGTCATAGTCAAAGTGGAAGTTCTCTCCTCCCTTCAGAGAAAGGTACCTCCTCCTTTGATGGCCCGTTCTTTCCACTGGGATCTCACTCGCAGAGATCTTTCATTTAGGGTTTTTTTGTTTGTTTGTTTGTTTATTTGCCACAGTGTCTTGGCTTTCCATGCCTAAAATACTCTCATGGGCTCTTCAGCCAAATCTGAATGCCTTAAGGGCTGATTCTGAGGCCAGAGTGCTGTTTAGGACATCTGCCATTCTATGAGTCTGCTGTGTATCCCACTTCCCATATTGGATCATTCTCTCCACCTGGGGAATTTTGAACCTCACCAGGGAGTAGTCCTTACTGGTAGTCTTCTGAGGTTATTCCGGGTCCCACGCATCCATGGTCTCTCTTGGAAGGAGAATGGAGATGATAGGAAAGAGCAGCTAAGAGGTGGGCAGGGATCCAGCCCCAGGGGAGCAGATCAGCTGGGGGTTCCCCCGGGTCATGCAGGCAGCCATGGGTGCTGGACACTCAGCAGTCACTTCGTGATCTTCACTGCAGCTGCCACAGAGAAAAGTTTGGAGGAAGGGAGGGTCTCGGTCCTCGCCCACAGACTGTCCGTGCTCTTGGCGTGCAGGAGGTTGGTGTAAACCCCTGCCCAGGCTGGCAGAGAGAGGCAAGCTCAGAGGGCAGGTTCTCCAACGACTGCCTGGAGGCTGGCTGAGCTTCTGAGGGACCACATTGAGTGAGGGGCAATCTCTGTGCCTTTCCCGGGTTTCAGCACAATGAATGTTGGGAAAGGAGGGGCAGAGTGTGAAGCCAAAGCCAGACCAGCTTTACTCAGAAGAATGAAGCCTGGGACAGGCTCACTCCCAAGGCAGAGAGAGCACCTTGCCTTACAGACTAGTGGTTTATATGGTACAAAGTGGCAGGAAAGGGTTTGGGGGTCGGAGCCAAAGCTGGGCCGCTGAGATAGAGGGAGAGCCTGGGCTCGTTCTAAAGGTCCTGCGAGATCCCAGTGTGAGCTGGGAGGGGCTTGGGCTGAGACTGGGGCTGGACTCTGAGGCTGAGATGCTGAGCTGGGGGGAGAGAGCTTGGAAGGAGTGGGGAGCGCTCAGGCCGATGGCTGGACTCTCCCGATAGTGGTGTGTCCAGCAGTCCAGGCAGGGTGGGGCTGTATTAGGGCAGAGAAATGGGGGCTGCTTGCTGTTGTATAGGTGAGGGGTCAGTTTGGATCTAAGGCTTTTTGTCCTTGCTCCATCACTTTCTATACCTAATTTGTTCAGGGTTTTATTGTGAATGCTTGTTGTATTTTTAAGTCTTGAAATGTTAATTTTGAAAGGGGGAGATTTTCCATCTGCTGGTTTGCTCCCCAAATGTCTGCAACAGTCAGAGCTGAGTCAGGCTGAAGCAAGGATCCCAGAACTCCACCTGGTCTCCCATATGGGTGGCAGGGGCCCAAGTTCTTGAGCCATCATTACTGCCTCCCAGGATGCATTACGTGAAGTTGGGTCAGAAGCAGAGTAGCTGGGACTTGAATATGGGACGTGAGTGTCCCAAGTGGTGGCTTAACCTCCGTGCCACACCGTCCACCCTGGATGTTGTGTTTTATCAAAAGCTGTTTCTGATGATGCGATTCTTATCCTCTGTTTTAATGTATTTATTGACTTGGATATGTTGAGTCCCCCTTGATCATGGGAATGATTATTGTTTTGATGTGCTGTTATATTGATTTGCTAGTATTTTATTAAGAATTTTTGTGTCTAGGTGCATCAGGGATGTTGGCCTGTAGTTGTATTTTTGTCATGTGCTTGTCTGATTTAGGAATCCAGGTCAGGCTGTCCTCATAGAATGCATTTGGCAGGGTTCCCTTCCATTGACATTCTAGTGACATTTTGGGGAATCATTTGAAAAGAATTGGTGGTAGTTCTTCCTCCACTTGTGACCCGGCTCCCTGCTCATGTGCCCGGGAAAGCAGCACCCATGTGGGAGACCTGGGTGGAGTTTAGGGCTCCTGGGTTTGTCCTGGCCCTGCCCCAGCCTTTGCCACCATTTGGGGAGTGAACCACTGGATGGAAGATCTCTCTCCCGCCCTCCTTCTCTCTTCCTCTCTCTAATTCTGCCTTTCATATAAATAAATAAATCTTTAAAATTACTTCCTTGGAAGTTTGGAGGAATTCGGTGAAGCCTTCGAATGCTGCACTTTGCTTTGAGACATTTTCTTAGGACTGATTCAGTCTCATTTCTCTTTGGCTTGTTTAGTTTTCCTGATTCAGTTTTGGTGAGTTACATGTGTCTAGAAATCTCTCTATTATAGATTTTCCCATCTGCTACCTTATAGTGGTTAGTAATTCCTAATATATATCTATATATTTATGTGGTATCAGTTGTAACATCTGGTTTCATCTGATTTTGAGCCTTGTTTTGTTGGTTAGTCTAGATAAAGGCTCATCCATTTTTATCTTTTTCAGAAGCCAACTCAATTCATTTATCTTCTGTATTGTTAGTCTCTACTTCATTTTTTTATGCTCTGAGCTTTGTTCTACTTTTTTTTTTTTTTTAAGATTTTTTATTTACTTGAAGCAGAGTTACAGAGGGAGGTCTTCCATCTGTTGTTTTACTCCCCAAATGGCTGCAACAGCCAGAGCTGGAGCAATCTGGAGCCAGGAGCTAGGAGCTTCTTAATGGTCTCCTATGCGGGTGCAGGGGCCCAAGCCCTTGGGCTGTCTTCGCTTTCCCAGGCCATAGTAGAGAGCTGGATCGGAAGAGGAGCAGCTGGGACCAGAGCCAGTGCCCATATGGGATGCTGGTGCTGCAGGCAGAGGCTTAGTCCACTATTTTGTTTTTAAAAGTCCTTGGAATGCATTTTTAGGTTACTTGATATCTCTTTTTAAATGTAGGTGATTAAACAACTTTTTTAAAGATGTATTTATTTATTCAAAAGGCAGTGTTATGGCCCAAGTCATTGGGCCTCTGCACCCGTATGGGAGACCCAGAAGAAGCTCCTGGCTTTGAATTGGTGCAGCTCCAGTTGTTGCAGCCAAATGGGGAGTGGATCAGCGGATGGAAGGCCTCTGTCTGCCTCTCCTCTCTGTGTAACTCTGACTTTCAAATAATTAAATTAAAAAAAAAAAAAAAAAAAAGGCAGTGTTAGAGATCTTACATCTGCCGGCTCACTCCTTAAATGGCCACGACAGCTGGAGCTAGGCCAGTCTGAAGGCAGGAGTCGGGAGTTTCCTCTGGGTCTCCAGTGTGGGTACAGAGGCCTGAGCACTTGGGCCATCCTCTGCTGCCTTCTTAGTCACATTAGCAGTGTCCATGTGGGATGCTGTTGTCACAGGCGGCGGCTTTTTACCCACTGTGCCATGGCGCTGGCCCCTAAACTGAACTTCCTACTGCTCTTGCTGTTTCGCGTAAGTTTAATTACATTTTTTTCAAGGAATTGTTAAATGTCCTTGTTTGTTTCTTCGATGACCCATTGTGACTCAGGAGCATGTTGTTGATTCTCAGCGTGTTTGCGTAATTCCTAACGCTTTGGCTCTGCCATTGTCAGAAAAGATGCGTGGTATGCTTTTGATGTTTGCCTTTGAGATGCACTTAACGTGCTCTGTCCTGGAGAGTGTTCTGTGTTGATGACAGAATGTATATGTGTGACTGTTGGATGAAAAGTGTCTGTTAGGGCCATTTGGTCTGTGGGGCAGTTCAGTGTATGTCCCAGGAGAGTGTAGCAGTGGTGTGGTTTCTTAGTGGCTTTGGGGTCTTGATGGTCTCTGCACTGAGGAACTTGGGGTGTTGGAGACCTCCGCTGTTCTGTATTGGAGCCTGTCTGTGCCTGGAGATCTGATGATGTTTGATCCGGTTGGGAGCTTTGCCGTTGAGTGCATGTGCATTTCCACTCTTTATGTTCTTGCTGACTTACTCCCTTGGGCATCATAGTGACCTTGTCTCCTTTAGGGTTTTTGTCTTGAAGCCTGTTTTGTGTGATGCAACATAGCTGCTTCCGGTTGCTTTTGGTCTGTTTGCATGGATTGTCTTTTTCCATGTTTCACTTTCAGTCTGTGTCTTTACTGGTGAGGTGAGTTTCTTGTATGCAGCATATCACTGGGTCTTGTTTTCTTAGCTTTTAACTAGGAATTTTTTCCCTTAATATTCAAGACCATTAATGATAAGCATGACTTAATCATGTCATTTCAAGCCATACCTTGTTTATCTTGAATGTCTGTGGTTGTGCAGTTTTGATGAAGTTGGATTTCTCCATATTTCTCTGGTGTATCTACTCGCATGTGTTTTTTTTTTTTTTTTTTCAGCTTGGTGGTTTCCTCTTTATTGATGCGCCTCCTATCTCCCCCCAGTTTCAGTCCCTTCCATCTACTCCCAAAAAAGAAGGTAGTGAAAGGAAGGGATTGTTGGGGTCCTCAACCCCTTGGGCAGTTAGAAAGGGAACAGAAACCAGAATAATCACTGGGTGCAACAGAGACTGACAATCCATAAGTGTAAAGCAGAGTGGGAAAGGCGGGTGGAGAACGGGGGAGAGAGGAGAGGCTCCCATGACCCCTCCTGCTAAGGGTGGGAGGGAAGCCTCCGCCGGTAAGTGCAGGTCCTGGAGAAAGAAGGTGGTGCTGGAGCTTGGAGGAGGAGGGGAGGTCAAGGCAGGGGGGACCCCCCACCTCAGGGGCAGCAGCTTCACAGGCCGTAGACACTTTCGTCACTGTAGGCAATGTACAGAAAGAAGTCCTCTTCATGGTGCTCCTGGTAGAGCTGACCCATGGTGGCACTGGTGGGTGGAATGACGTTGTTGACAAAGAAAAACAAGGCATCCTCAGCTTGGAGATGAATTCGCTTCCGGATCAGGAAGTAGAACTGACCAACTGTGAGATCAGAAGGCACCAGGTATTTTTTTTTGTCCATGTCTCCTATCCGAGCTTTGGGAGCCTTTTCTACTATCACCGGGACCCGGTCCGTGTATTTCTTTCTGATCTTCTCGCCCTCAGAGCGGCGCTTCTCGAACGGATGCTCCTCCTTGTACACGAACTTCATCCTCCCGGGAACCGGGCTGGACCGGGCTGGGAAGAGGGAAGCCAGGGAGCTACTCTCATGTGTTTTTGTGATGAGAGTTAACTTTGTTTTGCTTCTGCGTTTGGGTCTCCTTGAAGCACCTTTTGGAAGGTGAGTTAGTTGGTGGTTCTGAATTCCATCATTTCCTGCTTGGAAAGCTTAAGGATAGTTTTGCTGGGTATAGTATTCTCAGTGGGCAGTACTTTTCTTTTAGAACTCAGAATATATCATTTCTTGCCTTCTTGGCCTATAAGGTTTCTTTGGAGAAATCTGCTGTAACAGGGTCCCCTGTAAGTGCCTGCACACGTTTCTATTGCAGATTTTAGATTTGACTTTGTGTTGCACTTCTGAGCATTTGATCATAATGCGTTGCTGTGAGGTCTTTTGTTGCTGTACCTGTTTGGGGTCGTGTGGGCCTCTTGAGCCTGGATGTTAGTATCTTCACCATGATAGGGGCGTTTCGGCTGTTTTCTTTCCATAGGTTTTCTATGCTTTTATTCCTCTCTCCTCCTTTTGAGATTTCCAGAATTCAAATAGATCTCACAAGGCTGGTGCTGTGGCATAGCGGGTGGGGCCACTGGCTGTAGTGCCAGCATCCTATATGGGCACCGGTTTGGTCCTGGATGCTCCACTTCTGATCCAGCTCTCTGCTGTGGCCTGGGAAAATGGTGGAGGATGGAGTCCTTGGGTCCCCCATGCGGCAACAGGGGCCCAGAGGGGGCTCCTGGCTTTGGATCAGCATGGCTACAGCTGTTGCAGCCATCTGGAGGGTGAACCAGCAGATGTGGTACCCCTCTCTCTCTGCTTCTCCTTCTCTGTGTAACTCTGACTTTCAAAATAATCATAAAAAAAAAGAGATCTCATGTAATGGTGTCCCAAAGGTCTCAGAGGCTGTTTCGTTCTCTGTCTTGTTGTATTTGGTCTGAGTGTGATATTGGTAAAGATTTGTCTTAAAACTGAGATCTTGTTCTTGTTCTTCTTCTTCTTTTTTTTTTTTTTAAAAGATTTATTTATTTGAAAGAGTTACAGAGAGGCAGAAGCAGAGATAGAGAAAGGTAGGGGTTGTCTATCTGCTGGTTCACTCCTCAGATGGCTGGAGCTGGGCTGATCAGAAGCCAGGAGCTTCTTCGGGGTCTCAGGGGCCCAAGGAGTTGGGCCATCTTCTGCTTTCCCAGGCCATTGCAGAGAGCTGCATTGGAAGTAGAGCAGCTGGGACTCAAACCGGTGCCCATATGGGATGCCGGCACTCTAGGCAACTGCTTTACCCACCATGCCACAGTGCTGGGCCCAAGCTGAGGTCTTTGGTCAGCTTGATTGGACTCTACGACTGCAGTGTCCTGCTGTACCTCGGGGACACCGTATTTTTTGCTGTTCCATGCTTCCTGTGTCCTGAGGTAGATGTTCGTGTATCTGGCAGATGACTGACTCTCTCAGAAAGTTGTTTCCGCAGTAAAAGGATTTTTCCTGAAGGTAGGCCTCCAGGGTCTGGTCTAGTAGGCGCTCTCCGCATTAGTTGCAGTTGGAGCCTGTGGTGTAATGTCCCTATGCCTCCCACTGTAGCCAGTGGCAGTGCGGTGGTGCTTGGGGCACTCCTCGGTCCTGGCAGTGGTCCGTGGGGGCTCAGTGGCAGCTTGCGGGGTGGCCCTCAGTCTGTGGCGGCTGTGGTCGCAGGGGTCAGTTGGGTTCCTGTGGTGGCAGGAGTGTGGCTGGAGCGTGGTAGCAGGAGCATGGTGGCTGTGTGCGGGTTCCTATGCGATGTCTGGGCAGTGGCCTCCCTTGAATTCCCTCCAGCAGACGTTGCTGTCCCGCCTGGGGCTAGGGAAAGGGTACCACAGCCCGCCTTGACTGTGCAGCCTGGGGGTCGGGCAGTGCCCACGGAGCTCGGCTCTGCCTGCTGCGGAGGTGCGTGTGGTGCTGGCCAGGGCACAGGGCCAGTTGAGTGGGGCCATGGGTCTCAAACTGGCATGGGGAGCAGTTCCAGAGGCTCCATCTGCAGGTCCTGGCCTAAGGTCAGGGACCGCTGGGACCTGCCTGATGTTGGGTTTTACCAGCTTGGCTGTGAGCTCCAAGATGCAGTCCTGTGTTCACTTGGGTACCCCACTCCCCAGTGGCTGAGGTCTTGCCCCTTGCTGTCTGCCCGAGGCAAGGGGCTGGGGAGCAGTAAAGGCTGTCTCTTGGCCACCTAGCTCATATTAATTTGGGTTGCACTGAGTTTTGCCGCCACGGGGCCCTGTGCTGTGTGGTGGGTGCACACCAAGCCCGCCCTCCCAGGCTGTAGGACTGCACCCGAGACCGGGCAGGTTTAGAAGAGGCCTCTGGGCTTATCTCGTGCTGGGTCCTACCCAGCAGGCTGGGCACCGAGCTTGAAAGCAAATTCCTGAGCTCCCTTTCCCACCCTCTTCCCTAGCTGCAGGAGTCTTGCTGCACATCTACCAGAGGTTTGGGGGAGGGTGGCTAGAGCCAGCGCCTTGGTTGCCTGGCTAAGCAGGGTCCAGGCCCCCGGGGCAGCATGCGGCGCTCTGTCTGGCCTCGGGTCTCACTGTAGGCGGCCTGGGACGAGGTTTCAAGCCTGAGGTCTGGACTTGTCTCCCCTCCTGCTTGGGAAAAGGAGAGGGATTATCTCTCCCCCTGCTCTGCCCCACAGAGCCAGGGGCAGGCAGGGTGACGGCAGCTGTTAGCTTCCTGCCTTCTGCAGTGTCTTCTTGTGGCACAACCCCGAAGGCGCTCTGGCGTACGGCCCGGCTTCCTTCCTCAGCTCCCGTGTGAGCAGGCACCCGAAGGTTACTCGGCTGCTGTCTCGCGCTGTCTCCCCAGTGGTCACGTTGAAATGCTTCCCACAGTCCTAAATGCTACTCCTGGTCCCAGCGACCTTGTCCTGGGCTGGCCGAGTGCCCACACTTGGAGCAGTGCTAGTCCATGCAGTGGGGTCGGTGTAGAGAAATGCATGACCCAGGAGCCCCAGCCAGCTGTGTGTGTAGGAGCTGGGCCGGGGCCTAGAACTGGCCCACTCCAGGGAATGCAGGCGTGGGGAGTGGCCCCGTGCCCCACGGTGCTCAGCAGTGGCTGGAGGAGTGGATCGGAGAGCCGAGGTCAGAGCAAGTCCTGCTGCTGTGGGTGGGTGTGGGTGCCATCTCCCAGGCACGAGAAGTACGTGTGGGTGGCTGGGATGGCAGTGGCGTGAACTCTGTCACACGTGAGGCTCCCAGCCTTAGAGCTCTGGAACCTTAGGGTCGCGTGTTTGAATCCTGCAGCCGGAGCTGGAAGGGACTGTAGGGGTCATCCCCTTGTTGTACCTTTGTCTAAACCAAGGTCACTGCTGCTGTGTCCCTGACCTGGGGCACGCCAGGCCACGTTGTTCTCCTGCTCCCTGGCCCGTGTGACCCGAGGAATGTCTGTATCTTGGCTGGAGGCGCTGCTTGCATTGGCGTGAGCAGAGGCTGCTGGGAGCCCTGGCCTTACCCCAGATCTGCTGCTTTGTTTCGAAGCTTCAGGCACTGCGTGCTCCGTCTGACCGAGGACAACTCGCAGCCCTTGATGACCAAGCTGCAGTGGCTCTTCGCCTTCCTGGAGCACAGTCAGGTGTGTGTGGGGTGGGGTGGGGGGTACAACGGCGATGGGGGGGGCCAGGCCGGCTCCTGCACCCACACTTCCCCTTTGCTTCCCCACCACCTGCTGCTGTGAGCAGTTACATGGCTGGGCCCCAGCCAGGCTGGCACAGGCTCAGGGCCAAAGCCCATGGGCTGGCTGAGTGGCCCCGAAATCTCCTGGGCAGGAGAGGGTGTGCGTGCTTGAGTTTGGTTTTATTCATCTCCTGTCCTGCACTTGGGGGCTGTTGAGGGCGTGGGCGGACAAAACAAACGCTGTCCAAACCTTCGGGGGACCGACAGCCATGGGCTCCGCAGGACCCTGGGTGGGGCAGGGGGCCAGCAGGGGTCACTGCCTTCACAGAGGGGAGTGCAGTGTGCGGCAGATGTGGTGGTGGTGGTGGTGGTGGGGGCCGCACCCTGGACTCCTTGGGGCATCGAGAGGGTGCTGGGTGCAGACTGGGCTGTTAGCAAAGGCACAAAGTGTGGGGTTCGTGTTTGCGTGAACCCCATGCTGCCCGGAAGGACTTGTGGGATGGGAGGGGAGGCGTCTCCCGGGTGGGACCCCAGGCCTAGCGCGCTGCAGAGCTGGTGAGTGAGGGAGGGCCTGGTCCTGACCACGCCTTTTGCACGCCTTGTCCCAGCGGCCCGCCATTTCCCCGGAGAACTTCCTCTCTGCCTCCTGGACACCCTGGTTCAGTCCCGGCACCCAGCAGGACTGCTCCGAGTACCTGAAGTACTTGTTGGATCGGTAAGGGAGGCCAGGAGAGCCCTCCTGCATCCCTGGGCTGGGCTGCTGCCTTGACTTGGGGGGCGTGGGGCGGCGTGTGCTGCGGGACTGAGCAGCTGGGAAGCCTGGCCCCGCAAGGCTGAGTTCTGGGAGGGGCGGGGGCAGGGCAGCACGCTGTGCTGGTCACTGGATGCGTGTCCTTGTCGCTGTTCTGCGTGCACAGGCCCACGGAGCTGGCTGCTTGTGATGAGCCTGCATATAGGTCATCTATCGCATGAGGGCACAGGTGCGTGGATGTGCACTAGTGTGTGTGTGTGTGTGTGTGTGCGCGCGCGCACCCCTGCGTGGTCGGTGCGGACGTAGAGCCCGTGTCACCGCTCCAGGCTGCATGAAGAGGAGAAAACGGGCACCAGGATCTGCCAGAAGCTCAAGCAGTCCAGCGCGCCCTCTCCGCCGGAGGAGCCCCCCGGCCCCAGGTCGACCTCGGTGGAGACGATGTTCGGAGGCAAGATAGTGACGCGGATCCGCTGCCTGCGCTGCCTCAACGTCTCCTCCCGCGAGGAGGCCTTCACCGACCTCTCCCTGGCCTTTCCGCCGCCCGAGCGCTGCCGCCGCCGCCGCCGCCTGGGCTCGGTGCTGCAGCCCGCGGAGGAGGTGAGGGCCCAGGCCGCCGGCAGGGCGGGCGCCCGGCGGCAGCGCAAGCTCTGCATCGCCGGCGACGCCGCGCCTCCCGTGCTGCTCGTCGACGGCCTGGGCGCACAGAGCGGGCCGCAGCCGTGCGCCGAGAGGGAGGAGGACGCAGCGGCGGGGAGCGAGAGCGGGCAGAGGGACGAGGGAGGAGCGGCGGAGGAGGAGGGGGACGAAGGCCCGCGAGGGGAGCAGCAGCCCCCGCCGGCGCAGGGAGAGGAGGAGGAGGAGGAGGAGAAGGTGGAGAAGGAGAAGGAGGAGACGGAGACCGAGAAGGAGGAGGACACCTCGGGCCCCGGCACCCAAGGCGCTGCTGCCGCCCCGTCTGGCCCCGAGGGCTCCCGCTCCGTCCTGGACCTGGTCAACTACTTCCTGTCGCCCGAGCGGCTGACGGCGGAGAACCGCTACCGCTGCGAGTCGTGCGCCTCCCTGCAGGACGCCGAGAAGGTGGTGGAGCTGAGCCAGGGGCCGCGCTACCTCATCCTCACGCTGCTGCGCTTCTCCTTCGACCTGCGCACCATGCGGCGCCGCAAGATCCTCGACGACGTCGCCATCCCGCTGCTGCTCCGCCTGCCGCTGGCCGGCGGCCGGGGCCAGGCCTACGACCTGTGCAGCGTCGTGGTGCACTCGGGCGTGTCCTCCGAGAGCGGCCACTACTACTGCTATGCCCGGGAGGGCGCTGCCCGGCCCGCGGCCGCCGACAGGCCCGAGCCCGAGAACCAGTGGTACCTGTTCAATGACACCCGGGTGTCCTTCTCCTCCTTCGAGTCCGTCAGCAACGTCACCTCCTTCTTCCCCAAGGACACGGCCTACGTGCTCTTCTACCGGCAGCGGCCCGGGGACGGGCCGGCGGCCGAGCCCGGGTCGCCCAGGGTGCGTGCCGAGCCCACCCTGCACAAGGACCTGATGGAAGCCATTTCCAAAGACAACATCCTGTACCTGCAGGTGAGCAGACGCCCCGGGCTCCCTCGCACCGCGCCTCCCTTTTCACCCAGGGGCAGGCAGGCTGCTCAGAGCTGATGCCGCGTTGGTGGGCTGCACTGACCTCGGCTCCTCCCTGGGAGGCCCAGCCCCAGCGACTTCTAAGCCTGCCTGAGCAGCCCTGTGGGCTTCCCAGCGTACCTCGGCCTCTGTCCCCGTTCCTTGCTGTCAGGGGTGGTGTCCAGATGTTGAGCAACTGGCAAGCGCCTGGAGGGGCTGTTTGTGTGGGCCATCTGGTATCACACGGGGTCAGCTGACCTGCCTGCAGTTGGGGGTGGCGGGGGGGGGGGGCGCACGCTTCCTCCCAGCAGTGTCTGTGGCCCGAGTGTTGACAGGTGGGGAGCTGGCGGCCCAGGGCAGGAGGCAGCGTGGAGGCCCCCGTGTGGTGTGAGGCCACCTCCTGGTCCCCTGACCGCCTGCTTCCTGGGGCCATGTGGTCAGCCAGTCGCAGTCCAGCGAGAACCGATTCCTTCCCTCTGAGGCACTGGGGTTCCTGCCGAGAGGTGGCCAAGGTGGGGCCTCCTGTCCCTGGTGGGAGGGATGGCCTGCCCACCCATCCTGCCTGTGGCCTGGCCTCAGGGATCATCAGAATTGCTGTGTGCTTAGTGGCCCTAGGGAGGGAGTGAAGGGAGGAACTGGCTTTGGAGTCTGAATTTGAAGCTGCCCCCACCCCCCCAATCTGTGTTTCCAGGAGCAGGAGAAGGAGGCCCGGAGCCGAGCAGCCTACATCTCGGCCCTCCCCGCATCTCCCCACTGGGGGAGGGGATTTGATGAAGACAAGGATGAGGACGAAGGCTCTGCGGGAGGCTGCAACCCTGCAGGTGGCAATGGCGGTGACTTCCATAGACTGGTCTTCTAATGGAAACCCTCCCGCAGTGCGTTTCTACCTGTGGGGCAGCAGAGCCCATGGGGGAGGCCTCAGCCCCTTCCTGAGAGCCGGATGGGGCCCTCAGGGCCCAGGCCGAGCTGCTCTGCCAAGTGGGGTCAGGCTCAGTCTCCATGTAGGCCCTCCTAGGGCACAGGGCTGCAGAAGGGAGCTTCTGGAACGTTGGCCCTGTCACCTTGGTAGAGATGCAGATGTGAGGGCCAAGCCTGTTGGACCTCAGGCCCTGATGCTGGCATCGGCTACGTTAAGATTTCACTCCCAAGTGTCCTGGCTGACTTGCAGCAGCCTCCCTGGGCAGGCGGCGGGCTTGGCCTTTCTCTGCAAGGAGCCTGCCCTGGGATAGGGGACCTCGCTCGGCACGTGGGCCTGGGCATCGCCTCCAGTGCCTGGCTCAGGTCGCCTTTCCCTTCAGCCCCTCTTGGCCAGTTCTGGCTCTAGCATGAAAAGCACACCGGGATCCACGCCTGTGCACGGGCTGGGGCTGTGGGCCGCCTCTGGCTGCCCTCCAGCTGTTCTGAGGTCTTAGGGGCGAGGCAGGTGCATGCCTCCGCAGTTGGCCCTTTTGAGAGCAGTGCAGATGGGGAGCGGCCTGACTCAGGACTGGCCCCAGGTCTCCCATTGGGTCCTCCGTCCTTACGTACCCACACCAGGTGTTGTGCCACAGGGATAGCCTTCGCCCCTCCCCCTCCCCCTCGCCTGCCTCAGTGCCTGAGATGCCACCATTAGCATCGCCCCCTCCCCTGCTCTGGTTGAGGTAGAGGGTCTTTATTTTCCTGCAAAGATGTTTCTCACGAAGCCACGGTCTGTGTGGCGGCAGCTGGCTGGCTTGGCTGCTCTGAGCTTGGTGGCTGTGTGAGGGCTGTCTCCATGGGCCCTGACACTGCTGTAGCCCCTCAAAATGGAGAGGAGAAACCGTGTTCTCGAACAGGAATAAAGCTAGGTTCTCTGAAGCCTGGGAAAGCTGTCGTTCTTCCGGCCTCGGCGGCTGTGACGTGCTCTGTCCCCTTGCTCTCCTCCCTGCCTGGGAAGTTGGCTGGTGATCCTTGCTCCTCAAGGGTGAGGCGAGGACACACCTGGTGACAGACTGTGCACTGGTGCTGGGCCTCGGAGGACCGAGCAGGAGGCACCCAGTGGGACACAGCAGAGAGTACTTTGCCGACCAGCTGGTCCAGGAGGTTTTTCAGGACTTGGGACACCCTGGGACCACATGCTGCCACCCCGCCATTCATTCCCTCCTCTGGGAGGCTGGGTACAGGCAAAGGCGGATGTGGCCTCCTGAGCCGGCTGAGGGCTTTTGCAGCAGGTGGAGCTGTCACCCATCAGGGACCAGGTGGTTGGAATTGGACTGAATGACACCCAGGCTAGGAAACGGGACTTGGCAACCCCTGTGTTGCAGATCAGGGAAACAGAGGCCTCACCAAGGCTCCCTGCCGAGAGAAGTCCGTAAGCATTCCCAGGAAATGGGAGCAGGCGCACCCTCGGGCTCCTAGGGAGTCTGGAAAGGCTGGGCTGCGGGGGTGTTGTGCCCACCCACCGGGATCGGGGTGAGTATGGCGGCCGGGCCCTGGCCCTTCAGACGAGACAGACTCGGGCAGAGCCCTGGACTGCGTTTCTAATGGACTTTATTGTCATCCGACACCACGGTGAAAAGGGACCTGCAAGCTCCAGGCCTGTACCTTGTGTCGCCACAGCAAACCACAACCCCCAGAGACCAGTCCCCCCTCCCCCCACCCGGCCCCCAACTACTCACAAGATAAATAGGTGTTACAGAGGAAACAGAATAAATTAATAACTTAAGTGATTAGGCACCAACAGTGATTTGAAAAATTAAATGTCAATTTTAAATGGTGACAAGAACAGAACTTAAGATGGGGCTGCATGTAGCCCACTTATCTCTTCCCAACAACTAGTGACAGTTCCGTGCGAAATGGTTCTACATTTCAGAACACGCGTAGCCCACACATATAACCGGTCCCCCAGGACGGCAGGGCTGGCCTCTCTGGGCCACGGCTGTACAAGGGGTAGTAGGAGAGGGGTGGAGGGCCTAGGGCTGAGGCCACAGCCCGGGACAGGTAAGGGAGCCAGAGGGCAGCCTGGAGTTGCAGGCCGTGTCCCAGAAACTTCCGAATTGTGCTTCTGTCTGAGACACGGGGCGAGTACCAGAGTGGAGGGAGAGAAGGGACGGGGTGCCGCTGAGCGACCCCACCTGGGAGATGCCATCGCCAGCTGCTCATCGTTGCCACAGGACTTGACTTGAACCTTGCAGAGGTAGAGCTGGAAGTGGGTGCTGCTGAGGCGCCCCCCCAGTCCGGGGTCTTGGTCCTTGACGGGGGCTTCAGGCCCAGTTTGAGCGGCGACTCCCTCTGGCCAGGGTGGCAGGTGGGTGTGCACCAGACCAATCGGGCAGCTTAGGGCTCGCGAGCCTGAGCGCCTGTCTCTGCCCGTACTTGCGGCCTACGGGGTCCCCTAGGCAGAGGACCGAGAGCAGGACGAAGGCTGCCTCATTGAAGACTCCAACCAGTTCCACTCGCTGCAGGGCACACGGGGGACGTGGTCTGCGGCAACCCGGTGTCAACAGGGCGGCTGTGGGCTGGGCACTGGTGGAGTTGGGGGACACTACAAGCTTTGCCAGGAGGGAATCCCAGGAGAGGGCCTTAAAGAGACAGGCGGGTGGGTGGGAGGAGCCCGCAGCCTGCTGAGGCGTGAGGCTGCCCATGCTTCCGCCTGGGAACATGTGGCCTCGCTGCAGCAGCCTTTGTCCTGGAAGCCCCCGCCTGTGGTCTCTGTCCCCATTTGCATAACCAGTGGAGGTTCCTGTCCTCTTCCTCACCGATGAGGTTGCTGCCTCTGTCCTCAATGCGCAAGCCTGGGGCTACCGTGGTGGAAACTACTTCTCCCAGGCGGGGATTTTTTGCTGTGAGGAGGGATGCTAAGAGGGGCCTGGGGCCACCCCCAGCAGACATGGTGGGAAGCCTACTGGCCCTGGAGAAGCTGCTCAAAAACCCTGAACACAAAAATGTGAGACCAGCAGCCCCAAGCTTCGGGCAGGCCTGCCACTCTGACCTTCCAAGCCCCGGGAGGAGGGCTCAGCTTCCCTGGGCCCTGCAGCCAAGTCCTGAGTCCGAAGCGGCACTTGGAAGGCTAGGGAGCACCAGACGGGGAGGCGAGACCCCCGGGGGGCTGCCCTCGGTCCTGGGCACTGCCTCCCGCATCTCCTCCAGTCACCTCTGCGCCCTCCACCTTGTGGAAACTCACTTGCTGTTTCTGTCCCAGGCGCCCTCGCGCTCCTGCGTCACCTCTCTCCGTACCACGCTGCCTCCTGCCCACACCATTCCCCCTCCACATACACGGCACTGTCCACTTCCATCCAAGCCGCCATCGTGGGGGCTCCCGGGGCCCGGACCCCACTGTCCTGAGCTGCACGCCCTGCTCCTTGTGCTGGGGAGCCCACCGCCACCACCACCCATTTTCCCTTGCTCCCATCCCTGTACCCTGCAAGGCCGCCTCTGCTAAGGACAGCAGGCCTGGGGCGGTCTGCAGGTCGTGGCTGCAGAAGCACTGCTGTCACAAGGGGAGGTGGGCTGGGGGGTGGTGCTACAGCCACAGCCCCCAGCCTTCCCTCAGAGTCTGAGCAGGACAGAGAGGACAGAGGCAGCTCCTAACAAAGGTGGGTGGAGACATGGCCCTCAGGGAAGAAATTCACAGCGGTGGGGTGGGAGCCCTTGGGCTGAGGAGGGGTCTAGAGCAGGCCCTCACCTCCCAGGGGAGGGCTCAGGGTCCCTGACTTGGTCAAGCGCCTTGCCTTGAAGGCTGTGAGTGACAGAGCGGGGGAGGAGCCAGCTTGGGCCGCTGGCTCCCGCCCTTCCCTGGCGGCCAGGGCCGCGGCCTCACAGCTTGGCGCCCTTAGATGGCTCCGAGGACTGCCGCACGTCTGTCCACTCCTGCATGGTGCTCTGCAGGGCCTGGGTCTTCTCCTTGTCCACCTGAACGTAGTCCACCTTCTCGTCGGAGGTGACGGACGACGTGGATGGCTGAGGGCACGGGGAGAGGGGGAACGGTGAGCTCTGTGGCACTGCCTCCAGGCCCCGGGGCGATGCCCCTGGAACCGCCCCGCCCACCTACAGCAAGGAAGTTTTAGGGGGCCCTATGGCTTCACAGGGGCCTCCCAGAAGCACAAGTGAGTCTCAGATGGAGGGCAGGGAATCAGGGGAAAGGTACTGGCCCTTCCCGCCCTCCCCCTGCCACGCCAGGCACCTTGCGGTGAGGGCTTGGGGAGCCAGGCTGGAAGTCCAGGGCCAGGTAGTCGACGCTGCCCGTGCTCTTCTTAGGGGCTGGGCTGTTGGTGCCACTGGGAACAGGAGAGGCAGACACGGGGTTTTGCTATCATAAGGAGGAAACAACTGTTAGTGTGCGCCCGGTCGGCCCCTCCACAACTCCCAGCCTTGGCCAAAGCCAGCTGGGGACACCTGAGAGCTTGTCCCCTCCCCCAGCTGCTCAAAGATCTGCAAAGAGCTGTGCCCTCAGTGCTGGGGGCCTGTCATTAGCCGTGGGGCACCCACAGCAGTTCCACGCTCAGTGACGGGGCGGCTGGAGCCAGGCACGTACTTCCAAGATAGGTGGTTCCTGCCAGGGGCCAGACGGCTCCGGCACTGCTACCCCGATAGTGGGCGGGGCAGGGACCACAGCTGCCTTTCACTTAACTCATCTCCAGTGTTCAAGAAGGAGCTGGAGCAGGAAACTACGCCACCCAGCACAGGGCCTCCCGGGGGAAGGGCTCCCAGGGCCCCCACAGGCCTCACCATGGGAACGTAGTTCTCGTCGCTGTCCCCGGAGTCCGTGCTGGTGATGCTCTGGGTGGAGACGGGGCGGCAGTACTGGGACGAGCTGGAGCTGAAGGCACGGCTGGTGGGGGCAGAGGACAAAGCAGTCACCCGCCCGGACTCGCGCCTGGCGCAAAGCAAGACCTGAAACAGGCAGGCAGAGGGACTCCCCGTCTCCAGACAAGGAACTCGTGCCTCCAGAGCCAGGCTCCGCCTAGGCCAGTTAAGTACGCAGCTGTCCTGACCCCCCTCTAGCAGAGACACTTACTTGGCCCTAGACCAAGACTTGGTGACAGGTGACTTGAAGGGGAGCTCATCGATGACAGCGTTGTGTCTCAGGTCAAGTGGCGTTGGCTTTGCTGAAACACAGAGTAAGGAAGCCATCACGCTGATGGAGCGCACAGCCGGCCTCCGGCCCTGGCAGGACGGTCGGGACGCTGACATGCCACACTGGGGGACTGGAAGTTGAACCCGGACTGTGACTCCTGGCTACAGGGAGACCAGGGAGGCGCAGTGACAGCTGTCGTGGGCAGCTGTGGAGTGACCCAGTGGCTGCGAGGGAGCAGCATCACCCCTGCACCGCCTCCTGTGTACTTCACATCGGGTCTAGGTTATCCTATCTGCACACCCTGTCAGCGCTGTCAGACTTCGCACTTGCCGAGCGCAGCTGCCCCGCGTGCTGGATGCACGATGGTTGACTCTGGCTGCAGGCCCGACGATGTCATCTTTGCCCATGTGGAAGTCACGTCTTCAGATTCCAAACTGGGTATTGTTTGCACTGTAGCTAAGGTAACGAAGGGGACCCAGGGTCTTTCAGCAGATTTCTCTCCCAGCTTTACAACTTTTGAGAAGGAGACCACATGTGAAATGGAGAGGGGCACCGGGACAACCCCCCAGGGAAGGAGGGAAGTGGCCCTGAGCCTTCGAGGCTCCCACTCCACAGCTGAGATCCCCACGTGGCTAATCTGCTTCATGCCCTGAATCGGAACCACAGCCCCCAGAGCCGGAACCTAGAGTCAAACTTTCCTGTGCACCTGCTGTGTGCCAGTCACTGTCCTAGCTGCTTTCTGTGTAAACAAAGCTGGGAGGCAGGAATTACTATCCTATTTGCAGATGAAGAAAAGCAGTGT